TCGAGTGCAACCAACCCCTCGTGCCTTTGTTAATGTGGTACAACGGGCTCGTGAATCAGGTGACCTCACAGGGGAGGGCATGCCCGTGCTCCAAGACCTCACGATCAAATACAGGTCCGCACTGAAATACTTGTCGGGAGGATACTTTATAAAACAAGGTAACATTTTTTTTTATTTTTACACACATATTTTGGTTTATCTTCCTTCTACAATCATTATCTGAAAATTAATGACTCAACTTCAAAGTCACCCTGTATATATATATATATATATATACTAAGTGACATATAAATCCGAACACCCAGTTTAAATGGTTTTATTTTAATAAAAGTTGGTGAATGTATTTATCTTACTGTAAATAACAAGAGAAAAAATTTTCAGCCTTATCAGTTGGACATTCCGGTTTTTATACTGCTTTTTTTTTAATTCACTAACGCTCTAAAAATGAATATTTCAGCCGCAGTAAAGAATCAACGTTGGCGGATTTTGGTTCTTGACATCCTTTACGATCGGTTACGATGCCTAGAGTACGGAGACCTGTACGATTTCGTCAACTTAGTGAGTTTGATAGGGGCCGTATAATGGGACTTCGGGAAGCTGGACTTTCTTTTCGGGCAATTGCAGTTAGAGTGCAAAGAAGTGTAGACACTGTGGTTAGGTGTTGTCAGGCATGGCTTCGAGAAGGCCGTACGCAAAGAGCAAGGGGCACTGGACGCCGCCGTAGAACAACAGACCGTGAAGATCGCCGCCTAAGATTATTGGCCTTAAGGGACCGTTTCTCCACTACCAGGTCCATTGCAAATGAATGGTTTGCAGAACACGGAAGACCTATTGGCATGTGAAGTGTTTACCGACGAATGAGAAGTTTTGGCTTGTTTTCATACCGGCCACACTGGGTCCTCCCTTTAACTCGAGAACACCGACGTAATCACCTTGAGTGGTGCAGACAACGGTCACTCTGAGATCAGGAATGGAACAGTATTGTCTTTAGTGGCGAGTCTCGATTTTGATTAGGCATGCACGATAGTCGTCCCAGGGTTAGAAGGCGACGTGGTGAAAGGAGGAATCCACAGTTTTTTGTTGAAAGACATGTGCATCACACTGTTGGAGTTATGGTTTGGGGTGCTATAGCTTATGGTTCCAGGTCACCTTTAATCTTCATCAGAGGTAACATGAACGCGCAGCGTTATATCCACGAAGTTCTAGAACCCCATCTTTTACCCTATCTTGACACCCTGACAGATTCAACTTTCCAACAAGATAATGCCCGACCACATGTTGCAAGAGTCACAATAGACTTCTTTCAACATAATGATGTCACATTGTTACCATGGCCACCAAGATCTCCCGACTTATCCCCAATTGAGCACGTGTGGGATATGATGGGTAGGAGATTGCTCAATTTGCAACGTCCTCCTCGGACTCTAGAAGCACTTCGAGAGGAGTTGGTGGTTGCCTGGAATGAGATACCACAGGAGGACATTGACCACCTGATCAGAAGCATGCCTAGGCGCGTTGGAGAATGCGTAGCACATCAGGGTGCATCCACACATTATTAAAGGTCAAAGGGCTTTAAAGCAGTGCAATCATTTTGAAGTTTTTATCATTTACTTATTATGCTTCATTAAGTACTTATACAAAATTTTATTAAAATAAAACCATTTAAACTGGGTGTTCGGATTTATATGTCACTTAGTATATATATGTGTGCATTAAATTGTTCATTTTTAGACCAGTTATAACAGATATGGATTTTCCTAACCTAACAATTTCTTGAAGATACCAGAGCTTGTGAAATTTGTTCAATGTAGGGAAGTATCATTGACTTATCAACATTATTTGCAAGAAAATAATAAATTATGCTTCTGCTTTCTATTCATGTGTCTAAAATGTCTTAAACGTCAAAATAACAACATATCCTATAGTCAGAACTATCGGCATGCCAGAAATCTAAAGCAGTCTACACAAGTACCTTAATGATATTATGGAAATCAAGGAGGCCGTAAAGGCGTAATACAATTGTAGGAACGACTGACGATACGGCCCTTGAAAGTTTCCGAGATCCCAATGATCAGGGTCGAATTTGAAACACCTTGTATAGTACGTTCAAAATAAGGATGGGATGGGGCTATCTCGAGAAAGTCTACAGTTACATATAAAACCTCTACATTGACAGTCATTTAAGCTTGACAACATGGTGCTGACATATTCTTAATACGGCGTTTCGTTTCCTAAAAACCATATCAACTTATTTCACTGAAATAGGGCCGTGTGATTTCTAATACAAAAAACTCCATTTTAAATTTTAATATGAATGTTACTTTATCTTGGCGTAAGTAGCCTTATGGCTTATTTCAATAATAACTCTGATAAACCTAACTCGACAGATTAACTTCCTTAGTAACTAGAAATATTGGAAAAAGGTAGATCAATTCTGCAAACTTGTAAAAGGTCCTAACTTTTTTTTCATTTAACCAACACTGTAACGCAGAGGCAACCTGTATATTTTTTTTGTGATCCACTGCTGATCTCCGTTCCATTTTAATATTTGTTCACATTTCCACTAAATTGCATTTTTATGCCTAAATGCATCCTCGAGTGATAAAGATAACTAATGCAACCCATCTTCAAAGAGCTTTTGAATGCCCTCAAAACGCGTTAAAGCTAAAAATAATGAATGGCTGAATCAATATATTGTTTTTCGCCTTATTCGTAAGTGTTAGTTTTGCAAAGGACATACATTTATATACTTAAAAAGCCAATAAATTTACTACTTCTGTGTACAGTTATATGCCAGATAAATAGGAACATGTAATAACATACAATTATGGTTTATTTCTCAAGGTCTAGACATGAAAAGATTGCTTTCAGAATCAATTTAGCGACATGCTAAAAAAGTGCGCATTCTAAATATCTGTTAATTTCTCTGACATAGCGTAAAACAGTACCTTTTGCAGGTTCAAGGGAGCACAGGTACTAAAAATTACATTTCATGTTTCATCAACTGTTGGGAGATTGAAATAGTTCACCTACTTCTCAAATAAGAACACACACAGGATGGAACTTGAAGAACTGATAAAACTCCAATATAGTATAAAAAACACAAATATTATTATACGGTTATCATTTTTGTTCAACTCAAGTAATTAAACATAAACAAAGTCGGGTGCTGGATTGGACGGAATTGAAATCACGACGACCCTATGAATTAGCCCCCAAGAATCCAATCTCACACAATTAGATTTCTATGTGATGAGGCTGGATGGAAGATGATATACACGTTACGGTTATTCTGTAATTTTCTTTGTTTTGTGGTTTGTAAACGTTGAATGAAACCCTACAAGAATATCTATTGTTTCGTGGTCAGTTTGCAACACACAGAAATCAGGTTTGTGTATATGGTGAAAGTCGAAGCGTTTACAAAGCTACGCAACGTGTCGGGTTTTAAGTAGATGTGTCATACCATTGACCAAGCTTAGCCTTGGGCAAATGATCTGAATAGTTATAAGGCCCCCGTACATAAAATTTTCAGGTAGCATTTCTGGAATGTCCTATGATAAATAATAATCGAGGGTCTGATTTGCATATTGAGTGGTCTCGACTTTGGGTTGAGATATCTGTTCTTATCTCCGCTCGAATATTAGATATATCGGAAGCTGAAGCAGTTGATTCGTGTTGTTTTTTTTTATTTGTATACTAGCTATAATTCTGAAAATATATAATAGTTGTTCAAATCCAAGCAAAGAAGTTTTATGAGTAATGGAAATTATGTGTATTATCATGTATGACCAATGCATAGTTGGAAAAAAAATCTAATTTTTTGTAAAAAGGGTACTATAAAAGTTTTGCAATACAGCTTTATTTATTGACTTCGTTCAAAGTAATTTCCACCACATTCAATACACTTCTCTATCCACAACCAGCCCCTAAACCAGCTATGCCAAGTTTCACCCTGTAGTGCGGCACATTCGTTGTCCCAAGCCCTCAGAAGGTCCTCATCGCTAGAAAACCGTTTTCCTTTTAGCTTCATTTTCACATGCAGAAACTGTGCAAAGTCGCAGGGAGCAAGATCTGGACTGTAGGGAGGGTGCTCAATAAGTTTCAGTCCAGTAGTGGTCAAATACTCGGTGCAGGCTTTAGCTCGGTGAGCTGGAGCGTTGTCATGGTGGAGGTACCAAGTGTTCATTCTTGACTTCCCCCGCCGGTTTTTCATATACTCTATGACTTCAGGCAGCCACTGCTCCGTGTACCACTTACTGTGACTTTCTTCTGTGTCCAAAACGACACGCTCCACAATCCCGCTCGATTTGAAAAATACAGCTATAATTTTTTTGTTAACAGATCGGGATTTCCTGACAGCTACGGGCGTGTCCAAAACTTTGTTTTGAGCCTTGGTCGGCTCATCGTAATAATAGAGCCAAGTCTCGTCACCTGTTACGATGCTGTTTACATACCTAGACTGCCCATTATCAAACATTTTCAATATATTTCGGCACCAAGTCATACGACGAGTCTTCTGCTCTTCCGTCAAACTATGCGGTACCCAGAGAGAAAAAAGTTTCCTTACGTGTAAATGGTCATTCAAAATTGAATGAATTGCTGGTGCATCTGTTGGTATGTCACTCTCCGGCCTTCGTCAAACATTTTCCTCACAGCAGTAATGTTTTCCTCTGTTAGTGACGTTTGCGGCCTTCCTTCCCTCTCAGCGTTATCCAGAGTGAAATTACTCCTTTGGAATTCTCTGTACCACCTGAATATAGTCGTACGATGAGGACAATCATTCTTTAATGCATTTCTTCTAAGCACTGATCTATGTGTAAAGTTATACCGTAAAACTGCCCATATCTCACTACGTCACCACGGTGTCATAGTCCGCACTTTACACTGTGAATACGAATGAACAAGTAAATCAAAAGACGTGCTGCTGACGGCTACTATGCACCCATGGACATGTATTAACATTTATAGTAACCTTTGTATTGATACAAAAATATACTTACTGGTAATCATCTTCGTCCTTCTTTTTGGGTTGGTAACTTTTCACTAACCTCCTGTAACAAAATAGAAGATTAGTACCCCTAAATGTTTGAAAGCTTTTTTATTGGATGCATGTTTCACTTCATTTTATTATTTTCATTATGAGTATGTTTCTTCGATAAATAAGACAAAGATGCTATTCGCAAGGTTTGAGAAGTCTCCAAATATTTCACACCAGTGATAATTGTAGATATAATGTAGGTTTTATCATTTTTTATTCATATAACTGTATAAAAGTGCTATGTATTTCTGTGTAAATATAAATACAAGATTCCATAAAAACACATTCACTTTTTTGAGATATAAAAAACAAATTTCGCTGTTCTTTTTGACTCTTTTTTTGTAAAACATGGAAAAGTCAGTTGCATGATAAACAATGATGAACCCTCAACTGGTAAAATTTATTGTCATTCAGATATTCCAACTATGCCCACCATACATTTTTTTTTATTCTGTAACGAGACAATTTTTACGGTCACCTATTTTAAGGTTTTTAAATTACATTAGGTAATGCAACTCATATATTAGCTTTAGACACTTCACAGATTCATAGTGGCTAAAATCCTTAAATCATTTGTCTAGATTAGAGGAAAGTGTTTCCCGTTGCAAAATTTTATCTTTTTACGTTTTAAAATTAGAATTCATCAATAAAATCCTCCTTTCTGGTAGCATTTAAAGAATCGGAAAGTGTTTTCTGTAATTTTTCGTCTTTTTTTATGGTAAAGCATTTAAATGCACATTAACTATTTTCTGTCCGATTTGAAGAAAAATTTGTTTTCATATTTTGTCACCAAAATATTCCAAAAGCACATTAGATCAAATACCAATTATTGTCGACCTGTTCAAAATAAATTACCATACTGTTAGCCATGACGTAATATTTTGGTGTAAGTCCCTGAATACAAAGGCATTTCACTTTAATTTCGATTGGATGACACCTCATGCATTCTAAAGAAGCAGAAGGAGGTGTCTAGGAATGCGTAACCAGTGACACAAAACATGATGTATACGTCTTTACATGCGAAATAATTGTCCATTATAATAAGGTTGAGTATTTATTTGAACACGGAGCCCATGGATCTGATAGACTACGTTTTCGCATTAAACCAGTCCGTAACAGCAATTTGATTATACTTCATATCAAATGTCCAAATGGCTGGAGGTATTGTTACTGTAAAAAAAATCGAATATAGATATTTTTTTGCATGTTGCATGATATTTTAACTGTAAAACAATTCGAATATGGATATTGTTTTGTGCATGACATGTATATCACGAAAAACCATGTCACAAAGGATCAAGGTCTATAAGCGTGGTTTTCTGTCCTGAAAATAACTCAAATTTCCAGTGGGTCGCATCTATGGAATTTCTGCACATTTTAGAACATGTAAATTTTAAACATTCATCAGCGATTTTCTTTTGATTGTAGTACTCGATTACTCTCTAAAATCCATCAGTACGCATTTTTGCTCAAAATTCACACATTTTGGAATATCTCACTTTTTTATTTTTATATAAGTGCATGGTCGCAACACTTCCAACTTCAAATCTTCACTCTTTTTTAAATCGAAGCAGCCGCGCAGGCAGAAGCCTAAATGCCGGGATACCGCGGCTGCTATGATGAAATTTTGCTAATACGATTTTTGAACTGCCTAAGGTTAGTAGAACCGGGAAAAGCTTCCTCTTATAGATTGTTCCACAATCTCGACACCATCTGGAAAAAGGAGCAGTCGTATAGGCCACACGGTTAGGATGGGACGCCAAAGTCAGGCGGGTCTGTCTGGCAGGCACACCGCGGGGCGGCGTCATGGAAGAGAGCTCTGAGGAGCAAAGCCCGTTGGTGTAGCGGTAGAAAAGAGCTAGATCGCCGACGGCCCGTCGGTGGGAAAGGGTCCCGAGTCTGTCTGTTAGAGAAGAGTCATCGATCAGTCGGACCGCCTTCCTCTGGACAGCATCCAGCATAAATAATGTAGTCGGGGCGGCAGCACCCTAAACGTGTGAGCAATACTCGATGCTAGGCCTGATCTGGGCCTTGTATAGAGTGAGAAACTCAGGCGGAGAAAAGTACTTCTTAGCCCCAAACAGATAGCCTAGCTTTTTCCCAGCAGCTGCCGCTATTGACGAGATGTGTTCCTGCCCGATCAGGTCCTCGGTGATCTGGACTCCAACCAACCGAAATGAATGGCTCTTTGGCAGAACTCGGCCGTCCATCAAATCCGGATGAGCGCTAGGACGCGTTTTGTTCGTCAAAGTACAGTACAGTGATTTGGAAGCATTAAACTGTACAAGATTGTTGCGTCCCCAAGCAGTAATAACGTCCAGGTCTCGCGTCAGAGAGGAAGTCGTCGCTAATCTTCTTTTTTCCAGCTCAGTGGCAGAGATCGGCTTGTCACTCTGAATTCCTGCATGTAGAGTGCTAGCATCAGCGAAGCTGTGGATTGGGTTGATCGTGCAGGAAAGGAGGTCGTTGATGTAAAAGGAACAGTGTCGGAGCCAAGACCGATCCCTGGGGAACACCCGCGTTGACGTTGTGGGATGAAGAGGAGACCCCGTAAATTACGACAGATATCTTGCGGCCAAAGATAAAGTCAGCCACCCATCTGCAAAGCTGGAATGAAAGTTTGCTTAAGAGGGCAGTGTGCCGGAAACCATACTACCTGTCGCTAATCAAGCTGTGACGTTCGCGGTAGTCCAGAAGCTCGCGATGTATGCACCTCTCCATCACCTTACTTATAACAGAAAGCAGGGCTATAGACCTGTAGTTGTAAGGTTCGGTCTTAGATCCTTTTTTTGGAACATGAGGAAATTTTCAGTTTTCTGGGAAGGTGCCGGAATCATGAGGTATCTGGAAGAGACGCGAAAGAACTGGAGCAAGCTCCGCTGCACACTTCAAGTCAAGCTTTGTTGATGTCGAGCGACAAGAGCACTCGTCTTACGGTCTTATGCCTGAATGTTACCTCCCGCATCGTGTGGGGAACCCTTTGAATTGACGGCACTTGGGCGGAGGGGGGGCAGGGGGGGAGTCCTTTTCAATCTGCTTGGCCAGAGTCCAGAAAGACCGACTGCCATTGCGCTGCGACATTACCCTGTGCCTAACTTTTATATCGTGCTGGTTTTTGGCATTGCGAACCGCTTCGTTATATTGTTTCTGGACTCGACGTCGGCTTGTCTGTTATCTGCAGTGGGGTTTTGTAAAAAGGTTCTGTGTGCCTTGATCTTCTGCTGGCGAGCAGTGTCACTCGATTTGTTAAACCAGCCGTTGGACCCTGGTTTAAGCACTTTCACTATGTGAGGGATGTATTCCTCCATTCCGACGTGGATAATTTCGGTTATCGAAGAACAGAGAGCCGACGCATCCGAGTAAGTGAAAGACATCTCTCCAAGGAAAGGTAGAGAAGAAGTCACAGAGCCCATCCCAGTCGGCATGTCCATAATGCCAAATTTTGCGGCCTGTACGAGTTTCTGCTGCCACAGCGGGTTCTGACCGGAACCTAACCTCCACAACACCGTGGTCTGGGTTACCCAGGGGGACAGGACAGCAGTGCTGTAAGAGACAGGATGCGTGGTCAGAAAGAGATCCAGCAGGCTACCGGCATTCGACTAGACGCGGGGAAAAAAGTAGGGCTCGTCACCAGCTGGGCCAGCCCTTGAGTAAGAGCGAACGCTTCAACTGCACGACCTGCTGCATCGGTCTTGTTTGAGCCCAACCAAAGCTCATTATGCGCATTGAAATCACCGAGAAGAACTACCTCTGAAGCGGGATAATTGATGTTCAGGAAGTCGATCTTGACGGCGAGGTATTAAAGTAGGTCATCCCAGTTATGGTCCGAGGGAGAGCGATAAAGCCAGCAAATAAATTTGGGTGATGTTTTGGAGTTGAGGCGAAGCGACAGAATGTCCTTCCGGTCTGATTCCAAAGAAACATCTCTGGAGCAGGAAAGACTGCTGCGAACAAAAGCCACGACTCCCACGTTCTTTCTCAGATTGGAGTGCACCCCGTAATTTGGGAAGTTAAGATGGTTAATCGGCGGATACTCTGAGATTTTTGTCTCCGCCAAAAAAAGCATGGAGGGACGATTGGATTGCAGGTAAACAAATTTTATCTTCGATGTTGTTCCCTCGAGCCTACCCTCCACCCGGACATTCGGTAATGTTGCATAAGAATGCTTAAACTGGCACAAATGAAATTACTGATAGTTTTATGGTTAATTTTAGAACGAAGTGCTTGTGTTTTCAATTTGTACGAGATTAAGACAAGCCTAGCAAAGTAAACAAAATCATAATTACCTCGAACAATGAGGGTTCACAAAAAAGGGGTACAGCTTCTTCAGTACAATGGCAGGAATCAAGTCCGGACCAGAAGCTTTGTTGATGTCGAGCGATAAAAGCACTCGTGTTACGGTCTTATGCCTGAATGTTACCTCCCGCATAGTGTGGAACCCTTTGAACTGACGGCACTTTTTGGAGTTGGCAGCAAAGATCTTAGCTTGGCCTTTGAGTCGGATACAATCGTTCCATCCTCACACGTCAGTGGTGGAAGGCTACTGTGTGAGAAGTTCTTTTCAATCTGCTTGGCCAGCGTCCAGAAAGACCGACTGCCATTGCGCTGCGACATTACCCTGTGCCTAACTTTTATATCGTGCTGATTTTTGGCATTGCGAACCGCTTCTTTATATTTGTTTCTGGACTCGACGTCGACTTGTCGGTTCTCTACAGTGGTGTTGTAAGAAGGTTCCGTGTGCCTTGGTCTTCTGCTGACGAGCAGTGTCACACGATTTATTAAACCAGCCGTTGGATCCTGGTTTAGGCACTTTCACTGTGTGAAACAGACATCTCTCCAAGGAAAGGTAGAGAAGAAGTCTGAGCCCTTCCCAGTCGGCATGTCCGTAATGCCAAGTTTTGCGGCCTGTACGAGTTTCTGCTGCCACAGCGGGTTCTGACCGAAACCTAACCTCCTCTGAGTTACCCAGGGGGACAGGACAGCAGAGCTGTAAGGGATAGGATGCGTGGTCAG